CTCTGATGTGTACCTGTGGCTTTTTGCAGCTTGTGATGGCTTTCAGTGCACTGCAATCAGGCAAGGTCACTCTCCTCAGTTTTCAGGCTGTGGTGTGAAGATGCATTAGCAGGGCTGTAGGCCTGAGATAATAGACCTTGCTCCAAAGCAATGCTGCAAAACAATTAGGCTTGGCTAATGCTTTTATTTCCCCACTGATTTAATGCTGGCTTGCCACTGGCCTTTTCAGTTCATAGCAATTATTTGTTCATTTCTATCTGAAGAAATCATATAATGCATCTTCAGGGAGAAGAAACTATTGCAAAGGTACCTAAAACCAGTCAGTACTTATTACATAGAATGGCACTTTATACCCTATGGACTAGAGGTACTTCTAATATAAAACATGAGTAAGCATATATAACATTACAAGATGTAAAAGCTTTTGGTAAAAAGAGGATTTTTAAACTGGTTATATGCACAGACTTGGTTAATAAACTGAACAGGATATTAAAACACTAAGGCAACAGGAAGCTCTTAAAATTTCAGTCTCAAATCCTTACTGCTCTATATTGCAGGAGCTAATGCTGCCACTGTCCAGATGTCAGTGAAAGAATTCACCCTCTTTCTTTCTCTCCAAGGAGAGTTTTCCTTTTGTTTGCAGTACAGGTAAAGCTGCACAAGGACTGATTGTTGATCCAGGATCAGAAGGTATTCCTTCCACAGCAATTTATTGAAGGACATGTAACAAAGTAGGCATGGATTATAAAAGCTTACCCTTTCTCCTAAGTTTCCATTCATGCAATCTCAGGGAACAAGTTGCATGTGAAACAGTCAGCAAAGCACAGGGTGTCTGGCCAGCCTCTTCATGTTTTATCAAACCAGAGCTTGGATAGGAGTGAAATTTGAGGAGGTTCCAGTTTTAGCTCACAGCACTTTGCAGAAGCAGTCAGAAGGTGATGTTCCACGATCTGTGCTGGTATTCCACATGACATCTGAATAAAGGTCAAGTCAACTGTGTGAGGCTTTTTTCCCCAGTTGCACTCCTTTGAATGCCATATTTAATTAATGTAAGACCAGTGCCTGTACACTTGTTTAAAGCACATTCTCCTCTTGGCTTTTGTACTGCATCTACAGCCTGTGACCCTGAGCAGAACACAATTTTTAGTTCATAAAAGAATCCCTTAGTGCAGTTTAGGTCATTAGATCAAGTTGTGAAGAAATAAGACACAAAAAAAGACAAATTATGTAGAGTGAAGTAGAAGAAATCTATGTACCTGCAGTCCAGAAGGTGAGTCTGGCTAGGGAAATCAGGAATTGATTTCCTGAAACACAACACATTTTAATTTAGTCAGATTTGGGGTTTTTTTTTTTTCATAATTTTAAAGCAGAAGACTTTTCATTTTAATATTGTCAGGACGAGTCCTCTGAGCCTTGCAGTATCTACAGCTGTGGAACTGTCTCTGTTTCAGGCTTGTACATCAGCACTGAACTGATCATATGAAATACTTTTCTGGATCTTTTTAAATTTGGACAATTGTTATAAAATGTTAGAAATTCATCTTTCTTTTCTTTGTAACAAAATCTTCTCAGTGATTTTTCCATAGAAAGATCTCAGGAACTTTCTTTTAGTTTTGTTGTTGTTGTTGAATTAGTTGCAGTTTCTCTCCAGAGTTTTATCCTTGGACCTCTTGCTGTCTCTGAACATGTTTGTCTTTGGCCTGGGCCCAAGAATTATGTGTTCCCCAAAACCACAAGGCTGAATCTGTTGACAAGTGAGTATATCATGGTCAGACGGGTGGAACTGGTAGACTGCTGTTCAGCCCACCCACTCTCATGACAAGGATGTGCTGTGCAGTTCTTTGCACATTATATTTGGCTTCAAACAAGAAAAATAACATCTTTAGTATATTTTACAGATGCTGTTCTACAGGAGCAACTTAACAATCTTATTTTTACCATCTAGTTCATATTTCAAAACCATAACTATATCCAAATTATACACTAGAAATTTTGAAAGTTGTGGTGATAATTGTGTGTTCGATGCATTTTTTTTAATATCTTTCACAACACTTTTTTATATAACCAGTTTTGCTCTGTTCCTGTAGTAGATTTTTGATGCTAGATGTATCTGCTAAATTGTATTTTGTAAGACACCATAATGGGAGACTTATGATTGTTCTAAAGGCTTGATGAAAATTTGATTTTGTCACAGATGGAAGTGAGCAGTTTAAGATGCAGGTTCTTGCTGATGTGCTCTTCATTTATATTATCTTCAAGAAAATTAATTGTATAGTCTTAAATGGGATGATATTTTAAAAAAGAAATAACAATAACTTAATCAGAGTAGTATTACTAAAAATCTGGACTGCCCAGCATCTTGGTTTTTGTAAAACAGTAGGATTTAACTGTTGTTAATTGCTAGCCCAGAAATCTTCTGTCCCAGATCACCTTCCTCTGCTTCCTCCTAAATGTCTCAGTAGTAAAAAAATTGTTGCTGAAAATTGTATTTGAGAAGACTTTGATAGAAACTTCGAGCTTATTGGATTCTGTGCAGAGGTTTGAACAAGTTCATATTTCATGGGCTTTTTTCAAATGTCATCAAAGCAAAGATGCTTTAGCCTCTCACATTTCATCTGGGCACTCATTCTTCAGTGCCTTAAGTACAGAATGCCATGTTTAAGTAATGTATACTAACAGGAAGTTATATTTTCAACCATTTCTCCAGAATCCTGCAATACTTGCAACTAAGTTATTGATGGGTTACTAACGATAATTATCAAGAAGTCATATATATCAGAAGGTAAAATTGGATGTCTAGAAATTGATTTACAGTTATTTAGAGCAATGTTAAAGCTCCATGTTCAGATCTTGTATTTTTTCCTCACCTCCGTTTTTTTTATTTAACTCTTACAGGTTTCTTGCAGGGTCAGGGTCTGCTTAGATTTTTAGTCTTTGAAAGGTCAAGAACCTGAAGAAACTCCTTCTGTAAAATTTGCAGAATTTCTCTGAAATTTCTGATCTGAAACCATGTGAAACAACCTGAAACTATAAGACTTCCCCATTACTGTCCCCTAATTGCACTCTTCACAGCTTGAGCCAAATTTTAGGTGTATAACAATGCATGCTAGCCTGGTTTCATATACAGTAACTGCAATACTGGCAGTAAACTGAGTTTTGTACAGACAATGGAAATGCAGTGTTTGTTGCATTGTTGAAGATATTGTTTCACATATGGGTATTTTGAAATATTAGGCATTTGTGTCTTACAAATTTCTATAGCTTTATCTCAGCAGACTGGCTTATCATGTCAAAAATACCACTGTAGCTTTAGGCAGGTGCCTATTGAAAATCATTAATTGTTTTTTCATCCAGAGTGAACCCAGCAGCAGCTTGCACAGAGCTGTCTACCTCCACACATTGCCTGTGTAGTCAGGGCTGTCCCCAGAGCTCAGTGCTTCCCATTCCGTAAGTCAAACCTTGCTGATGAGGTGGAAATCCCAATTACAGGTAAAGTGCACATCATACTTTCATCTGATCTTGCTACAGCCCCTGTGACTAGTTAGGAATGGAATGTTACTGGTTTTCCAAGCAAACCTCAGCTTTTTAGAGGTGGGAAACTGTGATAGTAAGGTTTTCGTCTATAACAAAAATCAATTATATGTCTAGATATGTCACCTAAGTCTTCATTGAGAAAGGGATCTTTATTTCTGTCTTCATTTCTTAGGAATGTCACTTCACAGGACATATAACATCTATATCTCAGGTTTTAATCTTTATAATAGACTGGGTACCAGTTTAGACTCCATGGTTTAGTTCACCAGATTTTGTTTTAATCTAATGGCAGCTCTACTTATCAAAAAGTTTTCAATTTGAAACTGTGTTGTTTCCAAGAGTTTTTCTATCAGGAATTCCATCCCTACTGTCTATTTTATACACAGTTTCTGAGTCACTCTACCATAAAATACAGTTCCTGTCTGCAGTTGAAGGTTACAGGTGAAAATGAAGAGTGTATTAGAAGGGAGAAATATCAATGTTGTATCTTTTCAATTCATCAGTATAAATTTCTCTTGTACAATAAAGCTGTGTTTGGCAGAGCAGCAGACCCTAATCACCAAGGAACTGATTTACTGAAAGTTAATAATTTCAGAGATGTGGTCATCCTTGGAGGATTCCTAATGAATGTGTGTGGGAGTTGTAATTTTCTTGTATTTAACTGTTGCTAATGTATTATTGTAAGATGAATTCCTCAAGAAAGCCATCATTTTGGAGTTCTAGGTAATAGGAAGAATATATAATGGTAACAATTCTATGCTTTCCTCTATATTCCCTTTGTTTAAAACCATCAAAAAAATTCATGGCCGCTTTCAAGGCTCCAGAGTCAGCTTTTCTTCAGTTTGACCTGGACCTATAAATGAATCATTTGCATCATCTCTTTTGTCGTTCACATTTAAGATTGATTTATAAAAACCCCAGTGTCTTGCATGGTTGCTTAGCTCTGGTCATTTCTCCTCCACTTCTGCCTTCACCTTTTATTTCCATAGTACTTGCTGCTGCTTTTTCTTCATCTTCATCCTCCCTTCCTTTCTCGTCCTGGGAATTTCTCCATTAAGTTTGAACTCTCCTGTTCACCATAAAGAGTCTAGTTCTATGGTTGAACAATCCTTCAGCACCAAGAAATCTTTTTAACCTTCCTCCACCTCCTTTTGAAACCACTTTTACACTTACTTTCCCCCCAGAATAATTTTAATAATTGTTTTCATATCATCATATCTTCCTTGGTCAAATGACCAGTTGGAAAAAATACATTTACATCACAACATTATGTTACCTTGAGGAGCACAGCAAGGCAGTAATAGCACCTCTGAAGCCAGAATGTACCTATGCTAATTGTTGGCTTAGAGGTCCCTATATATTTTAATTACTTGTCCTACTATTATACTACAGTGCTTTAATTTTAAATGAAAGATAACAGCTGCCTCATCTCTAAGGAAACTGGTCTTGATTTTATTAACTTACAGGACAGAAGAATAATTGGCACATATCATTGTCCAGAAATGTATTCAACAAAGGTATCTTTCATTGTTTTCTAATGTTTTTATCCTCAGAGACGTAAAATTCAGGTCTTGACCGGTTATGGTCATTAAAGATCCCATGGCACTTTTTTATAGCGTGGTCATCTCAACCCCAAGCCCCTGGGCAAATATCAATTTATGTAACTGTTCTGCTTACCCAACATTCCCCACCACCACTCACCCACCCCATAGTTTTAATTGGCTACAACATTCTCCATTTCCTCGACTAAAATAAAGTGTGTTGTTCTGCACTGTCAGTCACCACATTTCACCTCAGAGGTGATTGTGCTTCACTGGGCAGTGAAGTGGTTCTTCTTTCTAATGCTTGTAAAGCGCTTTGGGATCCTTTTGAATGGGTGGTGCTGTTTACAGTAAATGTAGATCACTGTCATTCTATCTCAGGCGTCACTTCCTTACAAAAGCATGTTTTAGTTAGAGCTGGGCGAATCTGCTTGGTGGAAAAAACAGTCCCAGCTCTCTCTAATTTGATGGGGAACCTTTTGGCAAAGGTTGAAGAGGCCCCTTCCCTTCCCTTCCCTTCCCTTCCCTTCCCTTCCCTTCCCTTCCCTTCCCTTCCCTTCCCTTCCCTTCCCTTCCCTTCCCTTCCCTTCCCTTCCCTTCCCTTCCCTTCCCTTCCCTTCCCTTCCCTTCCCTTCCCTTCCCTTCCCTTCCCTTCCCTTCCCTTCCCTTCCCCTTTCAAAATATCTTGAGAAAATGCATTTATTCTTATGGTCAGTTCATTATTCCAGATGCATTAGTGCTCAAGAAACAGCTGAACTTTGTGGTGTTTTCCTGGCTATTGTAACACTTGAAGGTTCGCCCATCTCTAATATTTACTGTATTTTGCAATATTTCTTCTGAAAAAGTCTTGGAATATTGAAAAATGCTGTGCTTCAACTCTGATATGAGTGTGATATGTACAGAAGACGACATTTTTCCCTAGAAGATAGTTTAGAATATTGCTTAATGTTTTTTCTGCCCAGCATCACTAATCTTACTAACTGCTTCCAAGATTATAGACATCTGCAGCATTTTGCTGCATTAAGAAAAAAAGTTGACTGGAGTGATATCATGCTGCTAAAACATGTTTGTGTCTAACTCTAGCAGACTAAAATAGCCTTTCTTGCATGTGTGCTGCATAGAATGTATGCAAATATGTAAAGAGCACTCAAATTTCTAATATCATTGCAGATCAAAAGGATAAAATGCTTAAAGTAGACTCATCCTAAGAAGATTTAAGATGGGAAAAAAATTGTTGGCACTAAAATATTTTCAAAAATAGTATCCTAGAATGCACAACATTGAGGTGAAAATAACCCAGGCTCTGGGCTAAAGGGTAAACCCATTACATTAGTGGATGTTATATCCAACTTCCCCTGATGTCACTGGAACTAAAACTTCTTTTCTTGAGGTTATATGAAAATACAGAAAATGTAGTTTCCAAATGACTTTGCACCCCTCATGTAGTAAACTTACCTCTTCTGATTTTAGACATTTTGGGATCAATGAATGCCAAGTACCTGCAATTAATTGTTTTATTTTTAGGACCCTGAGAGTCTTATGATTGGTCTGAGATCTAATAACAAAAATGAGTCCCCTTTTGTTTTACCCCAAAAATCAGAAAAGAATTTTCCAAATACATACACTCATTAGAAAATGATGTTTTAAATCCATCTTGAGAAGTTTCATAGATTGATTTGCTCTTGCAGATATTTGCTTTTGTTGCAATTACAATAGTAGAATACTACTATTACCTGTCCAATGCTGGTAGGAACTGATTTGATGGCCTTCCTGGATAGAAGCACTGCTCCCTCACTATGTTCAATATCATGCTACTGAGCTCTTAAAGGAATTTCTCTTGAATTCCAGCTCAACTTTCACATTTTTCCAGTGCTTTTCAAGTAAAGATTGATTTCCCACACTATGAATTTCATAAATATCATGTGGCTCTTATGAAAAGCTAACAGAAAAGAAAGATTTTGTCTGTTTCACATTGAGTCATGACATTTGATTTATAATTAAACTAGAGGGGTGCAAACTCACACAGATTGGAGGGGGGGAAGATAGAGAGAGGGAAATCTGTCATCTCAGCAACACTAGGTTTTGTGCATCACTTGAACAGATGTAATCACTCAAATGACAGTGTTTCAGTAGGTCCAAAGTACCTCTGTGAGTGTCTGACTTCTCAGTTCAGAACACTGGGCAGAGGGTGCTACCAAAATGCAACTGGTTGAACCCAGTTCTCTCATCTTGCCATGGTAAATATTATATAGGGGGTTTAATAATGGTCAATCAGTCTGCAATGAGCAGTGCAGGCTGGTACATGCTGCTGAGAGGTAGTTTCTAAATATTACAGAATATACTAATACCCTGTTATTGTTTAGAAATCCACAAAGGTCACAGTTTTTGCACTTTGAGTAATAATTACAGAATATATTTTGTACATGATAAATGAATAATGTGACTGAGTTATTCTTAAAGGAGCTCTGGAACAGTTTTTTTCTCTTACTTGGCCTGGAGTGTATCTGCACTACCATCACTAATTCAATGTAATTAATTAGCTTCTCTTTAGCTATTATTGTTTTTAAGAACTTTTAGTTAATTATAATCTGTTATCACACAATTCAAAATACATTCTTAAAGAAAAGGCTGAGAAGAATTAGAACTTGCCTAAGTAACTTTTATTTGCTTTCTATAAATGGATTCTTTTTAGAATCTACTTCCACACTCCAGATCTTCTCCAGATTGCCTAAGAGTGGAAGTTAGTTCCTTATCTTTGAAATCCTCTTGATTGTCTGAGGGGTTTCTCTACAATATTGCTTTATTATTTTTTTTCCACTGAATTGCTTTAAAAAATGCATAGCAGCTAAATCTACCCATTGAAACAACTGTTCAATGTACATTTGATGTGATTACATTCTGCATATGTTTTCCCTTGCTTGAAATTGCAGATCTCTGCTATTACAGCAGCATGCTATTACAGCATGCATTGTATTGAAGAAATTTATTAGTACTGGGGCATGGAGTTTCCACATAGCTATAGCTAGACCATGCCATTGCCTTTCCCCAAGTAACCAGCATTCCTGTTTGGAAAATGGGGACCTAAAATGTGCATTCTCTTGTGCAGTGCTTTGTACCTCATTCATAGAGGCAGAGAGACCTCGTGAATAATGGAAGTTTGTGTCAGAGCCAAAGCTTTCATTTGAAAGAAGAAGAACCAAAACAAAGCAGATCTTTTCCCATTGGATTTTCTTCCAAAACCCCTGAAAATTTCAATATTTGCCCCAGATATCCTCCTCAGTGACAGAATGCCACTTTCAGGAGCTGAGTGTGTTCTCTGTTCCCAGGTATTGCTTGTGCTTGCTGAGCATTGGGTCCAGGGAAATGCCATTTATTGCATTATAAAATACTGGCCCTATTTCTCCTTGAGGTCACAAATAAATAATAATAAATATAATCACAGCTATGCTTAGAGTCTTTCAGGCTAACATCCAATCAATTAGCAATGCTAGATACGGCCCTTACCAGCATGGCTTCATTTTGCAGCTGACCGGGCTTCCTTTCCCTCCTGCTAAATCCGCCGCCTTGTTTTTCTTACAGATGGACCCACACGAAAACATCTTGTTGAGCACGCTGGAAATTAAAAACGAGATGGCTGCCTCTGAGGCTGTGATGGGGCTTGGGGACCCTAGGAGCACAATGCTGGCCTACGACACCTCGAGCATCCAGTACCGCAAGGCCGGCCTGCCCCGGCACAGCTTCGGCCGCAACGCGCTGGAGCGGCACGTGGCACAGAAGAAGAGCCGGCTACGGAGGCGCGCGTCGCAGCTGAAAATCACCATCCCTGACTTGACTGATGTCAATGCCATAGATCGATGGTCCCGCATCTTCTTCCCCGTGGTTTTTTCCTTCTTCAACATCGTCTATTGGCTTTACTATGTGAACTAAGAAACAAAGCCACGCAGGAAGAAAGAACTGGATTTTCTCTTCGAATCAGTTGTACAGCCAAAAGTGGGACTTGGAAAAATTCTATTCAGGACAAAAAGTTATTTTAAAACACCTTAGTTGCTGGCCCACTCTATGGTCTGTTTTTATAATGTTTTGGTTGTATCTGCTAAACCATACATATGTTACGTTGCAGTATGGACATATCCCCTTATCAAAATATAAGTGCATTTTGAGTGTAAAGGCAAATTGCGTTTTGAAAATCACTTTTGTCTCATTGTCCCTCACTCTTTTTTTTTTCTTTTTTTTTCCCAATGGCCATTTGAGTTTAGTGGTACAAATTATAGAGCAGCATTTGAGAAACAAGTTTTAATTTCAACAGCACTACATGCCATTCTAGGGAAAGTGCATATCCAAGGCATGCATATACACTTAAGAGAGTGTACTAAGTTATCATGCTTATGAAACACATACACTTTACTTTTTAAATGTGTAAACTTGAAAACAAGTAGTGCCTATCATCTTTCCAAGATGATGATGGTCAGAGGTTTCCCAACCATATTCAGGTATTTCCTTTTATTTATTGAAAGAGCTGAACCTTTGACTGATGATATTGGGGTTGGGTGTTTGCACAGAAGCTGAAGCAAGAAGCACTAGTTTGTTTGTATTTTAAAGAGAGAACCTATGCTCAGTCATAGTGACTGTGTTTGGGATCAATAGAGAAATGTGGGGACAGTATAAAAATGCAACAGCACTGAATGGGTAGATGCTGCTGGGTTGTGTTGAGGAAAGGGAATCTGTCCAAAGTGCCAAAATCGATTGCCCAAATAGTAATTCTGTAGATGGCTGAAGGAAGCCAGTGGTGCCCTGCCTTTCTCCAGGGCAGGGAGAGTGAGAGAGCAATTACAAAGTGCAGGGGCAGGGAGACAGGGGGCTACATATACATAAATGTGTGTGTATATATACATATATATATACATATATATATATATATGTATATACACACACAGTGCAGGTGAATGTTCTCAGTTGTACACACCTTAATCTGAAATAGTCGTGTGGAGTTGTGTGATTCCTTCCAGGTTTTCATCTTTCCAGCATTATGCTTCCTGCTGTTGGTTAAAGGTTCTGTACCTCTTTCAGCAGTTAGGATCTGAGCATATTTCTGTACAAGAGGTACTGACAGGGTGTTTTCTCAGTCTGGATTAGGCAATAACATTTCACTTTTTGTTTTTCTTAATGCACTGTTCTAAAGGAAAGAAATTCATAGCAATCACTTTAAGAGTTTAAGTACACTGTTGAATGTTTCCTGCTTTAGGGTGATTTCCATTGAAAAACTAGAAAATTTCTGGTTTTCTTTGGGAAGCTTCTTGAATTAAAAGGTTGAGATTTTTTTCATTCCATTGAGCTTTATTTTTACAAAATAGTAAAATATATAGTAGGAAAAAAAAATTAGACAAAAAATTCTTGTAACTTATTCCACTATGGAACTGTAATGAAAACAGCAATCATAAGATCTGTATAACAAGTAAAAATTCTTGATGGCTTTTACTAGATGAGATCCCCAATATTGTTTGACACAATCTTTCAAGAAGCAAAAGCCACATCTGTTGCATCCATACTACCTCTCATCTGTGTACAAATTTTTGAAAGAGACTAGAGAGTATAAATGTTTTTTTCAGGGTACTAAAAAAAACTCTTTAGAATATTTTTCATAAAATATATTTTTTAATTTTTTTGTTCTTCAAAAGAGTAATTTTCTTACAAGTTTCTGTGGTTTTATTTTTGATTCCCCTTCCTCCTCCCCCATTTGATAGTAAATGAAACTAATAGGAAGAGAATAGTTCTGAGAACTAATAGGCAAATATTCTTTTTTTTTTGAGCACTTCATATGCTTATTTCTGGTTCAAATAAAAAGTATAGTTTCAGAGCCTGGGATGGGATTTGCAATACACCCTACCTGCCAGGAAGTTGTGTACATTCACACACTGCCTCCAGGCTCAGACTCTGCAATATGTAGAGATAGGTTTCCCTGATGTGATTAACTTTCCAAGTGAAAATTATGGTCTTTGTTCACATAGTAAATTTGTGACTGCATTTCATGCATAACGCAATAACCTTTGTAGATGCACTTGGGATTTCAGCTGATAGGTATGAGTCACGTTGGATTATTTTTTTCCCAATTTTAAGAAATGGAGCATATTAAAATCCAATATTTCTCCTCAAAGTCTGTTCTTTGAAAATTATATTAATTATCCTAAATGAAAGCAGTCTTATGGTATTCTTCTGTACAAGCTTTTCTTTCATTTCAGAAATTGCTGACAGCTCCTTTTATTGTTTCATAGAAGCAGAGTGTGACTGCAGGGAGCTCGCAGCCTTTCTGTGGTTGATACACATCAAATATAAAACCTTACAGGGAATATGTTGACTCTCTGCATTGGTAACTGCTTCAGCTATTACAAAAATCACAGAGATCGAATCCTGGAACTGCACATTCACTTTTCTGAAGCTACAGTACAAGCCATAATACTCTCTGATATTGCTATTCAGAGAGTGAAAGAAAATGTTTGGTTTCTGCTCAGGTGTCACTAGGAAAGATAAATTATCTGTGGGGAAAGAGCACTTTTGCTTTTACTATGTTCTTCTGGCTATTAATGTGATGTATAAAATTAGTGAAAGAGAAAGATTCTACCATTTTGTACTAAGGCTTAACACTGTGATATAAAAAGATGGGGGTGAGATGGCTGGTGAGGCACTATCAAGGAAAAAGCATAACTCGAGCCCCAGGTAAGCACTTACTCCTGAGATACTTGAGTGAAAGTGGGAAATGATGCCAACAGACATGAGACATGGGGTTTGCTATGTGTGCTACCCTCCAGGTAAACTAGAATAAATTTGCTTTTACTTTAGAATTGACCGAAAAGAAATATTCTAGATCTTTTTAATCGTGTTAATTGTTGTTGGTTTCAATAAACAAAATAGCAAAGTTAATAATTTAGATAAAAACTTGTAATATAATTATAGTTGCACATTTTATTGTTCTATTAGACATAATAGCCAGCAATTAAGGTGTTTTTCATCTTTGCGAAATTCATGGGGGAATTATGACTATAACATGGCACAGTTTTAATGAAATCTTTGAGATCAATCTGTAAATATATACTGTACATGACTGCTAGTAAGTATGATACACATTTTCAGAACTGAAAATTCATGCAACATATTTCTGTGTTTGCATAAGGAATGTTATGTTTCTATCCTATCGCAGTTCAATGACTGGGAAGAAAGACTCAAGCAATGACATTGTGACCATTTCTTTTCTCATTCCCAGGAGGAAAACAAGAGTCCTAGATAACAGCATGTGGCAGAGGTCTTCAGAGAGTTCTTACATTCGAATAAAAAAAAAAAAAAGACATAAAATCTGTAAGGTACAAAAGCACAATGCATTGAGAAAATAAGTGGTGGTCTTATACCTGGGGAAAATATCCTATTTATTTCAGAAAAACGTGCATTAAAATTGAGCCTCAATATATTTTCACTATAAATATTAGACTGTGTTCCAATCCTATAACACAGTGCTAAACATAAGTGAACAGATGTGAAACATTTTCCAACTGTATGTGCATATGGACGTACCCCCAAATGTCTGTATGGACATATGTGTGTATATATACACGTGCTGAGTATATATATATATATATGCACACACATTCACATGTTGGTGTGTTAAAGGAATAAGCTAATAATAGTTTTGTTTCTATCATCAACCAGTGTATGAATATATTTTTGAGAAAAAAAAAAGAGTAATGTATTTAGAAAAAAAAAAAAACCAAACAACTAACTCTACAGGGTAACTGGGCATTTCTATATCAGCAGATCAATGCTTATGATTCGTATGGAGTATTGCACCGTTTGACATGATGATAGTACTGTACCTCCTTGCATCTGGAATTAGACTAGTCCTCACATTGCTTGCCTATTTCTTCTCTCTCTTTTTATAACAGCATTGTCCACTAGTAAGTTTTCAAAACCAACAAATTCCTTAGGGAACCAATTAAAAAAAAAAGGCAAAAATAGTAACTATTTCTAGAAAATAATCTAGGGTGGGATGGCCAGGGTACAATACTATATCAGTAGTGATCAAAACATTTTGCTATGTGTACATAGAACATACAATGTGAGCAACCATAACTTAAGCTGAACGTGTGTAAATATTATCAGATTTCTTAAACATTTTTAACTTCTAATTTGTACTTTATGGTAAGGCAAAAAGCTAATTCTACTTATGGTTTAGGTTAATGTGTCCTAAAATTATGTAAATAATTAAATAAGCTGTAAATGAGCAGTCAATAGATACAGTATTTGTTTAGTGACTTTTTTTTACTAAGTACAATAATTGCAGTGCTCTAGCAGAGTAATTTAAACACCCTTTTGCATAAACAGATTTGGACTCCAGATATAAAATAGTACAGGAAGTGCTGTAGTGTAAAATAGCCACCGTGGCAACGTTCCTGCTGGCACAGCTGATTCTTTTGTGTGGTTAAAAGGTTCAGGCCACACTCAGTACTCAGACTAGCCAAAACTAACAGGGCCTGGTTTTCACCTACCAAAAGGCACCTTGATGTTGCTCCAGTGAGCGGAGAGGTGAAGGTGTCCAGGTAAGTGAGAACTCAGCTGTCGGCGATTTCATTACAGAAGCCTGCATATTGCATCTGTCTGATTCTGAAATCTGTCTCTTATGGTATTTAATAGTAGGCTTATATTTTTCTTTAAGAAAAAAACAAAAAACCACAGGATGTTTGACTGTCGTTAGATAGCATAGTCCCCCAAAGCCAAAGAATCTTCACTCCAGAAATTGTTTAAAAGGGAAATCTAAAAAGTCACTGCTTAACACCAAAGGTAAAGCTTAGTAAAATGCACTAGGAACTTTGTCTAAATTTTTAAGAAGCAAATGGAATGTTGTTGATCAAAAAGACTGCCCTATTCTACTTTGTAAAAATACTAAGAATTTAAATATCCATTATATAAAATTGAAATAGATAATCTCTACAAGAATATGCAACACTAGCATTTCATAAATATAAAATTATTTTCTTTGTAAGTGCTTTGACAAAAAAATGAAACTTAAATGATGATAAATCTCACCTCTACTTTCATACTAAGGGTTGTATTTTTTTAATGTTTTTCAGACATGAGGTCATCTATTCCAATTTGATAGCATTTTGTATGTTTTCACTGTTCCTGTCATTTGGCAGATACTCACCAG